CACCGCTACACGTGGCAGCAACCCTTTTGTTCTCCACCACTGGCTTTCTCCGCCAAGCATGCATCAAATCTCACCCCAATGCCTCCTCTGCTTTAGTGTGGGTCTGGAGCGGTTACCCACTGCCCAAAACATGAGTCTCGGCATGGAGCCCCCCATCTCTAATGCTCTCATGGCCGCCTTGAAGCAAGCTCAGGCTCACCAGCGCCGCGGCTGCCCCGAATAGCAGCAGCAACCTCTATTAGCCGTCAAATTCGGTTTCGTTGGAACCCACGTCTCTGTGGCCCTCAAAAAGCATGTAGATGTCGTCCTGATGTCAGCCTATGTTAGATTGCCTTCAGGCGCTCGGGCCGGCACGAATCGACGGGCCTGGCGCTCAAGCCTACTCGGGCTCCCTCACCAGCCAACGTTGGACTTCCTCCCTCAGGCAATCCAACCCTGTTCTGGAGCCCGTCCCTCGAGCAGGAGCTCCCGTTGGAGCTGCTCTAACAAGACTTTATTTTAACAAGTCTAATTTTTTATTAGTTCTTCAAGAGAGAGAGGAATAGTTGTAGATTTTAATAATTCTTTAATAGTCGGCTGACGTTAATGTCTCTCTCTTCCTTCATAAGTTTATTGACTATTCGCAATAATGTTTGTTTAAATATAGTATCTTGAAACAATGTTTTGTTAGTTTTTTTTGCTAAAATAGGTAACTAATGTTGTTTTAAAGAATCTCTTGAAGATGCTCTAACACTACAAGCATTTCCAAGAGAAGTTCTAAATTTTTGTAAACTAACAAGTGAATAGTGTCAAAAATTATTTTAGTTATTCAGTTTTAACTTTTTATCTCCAACGACACTTTCTATTTTAATAAATTTTGAATATATTATTAACAATTCAAACTCAGCCCCACTTATTTTCTAACTCAACCTTCTCTCTCTTCCCTTTTTTCGATGCTCAAGGGTCCACTCTTGAATTTTATTATTATTTTAATATTTAGCTGATAAACAGTTGCTCTGTAAATTTAAAAAAAGACTCTTATTTTGCTGTAATAAAGACTCCTTAATAGAGTTTGTCGAAGATGTGTGTTTTTAAATCTGGCTCTTTAAAATAGAATTTTAGTTGTTTCACAGTTTTTTGCTTTTCGTTTTTTATATTTTTGTTTTTGTTTTTTTGTTTTTTGAGATGCTCTAATAAAATTGATGTAACCAATATCACATTTGTGAAGCATAGAAATGCTAAGGAAACTCTCTCAAAAGTGAAACTTTTAATGGATTATCTGCAACCTCATGTTTTTTATACAATATTTTAAAACATTTGTACGAAAATTAACGCTAAACTGTGAGATGTTAAACAATCGATTAAAAGTTCCATTTATAGGAAACTTCCGTTAGCATTTCTCTAGTCTTATTTAGGACAATAACCACCGCATATAGAATTGTCTATTATGTCGTGTTGTTGTGCAGCCTCCAACTTTTGGATTGGACTAACCAAACTACCACCCCTGCCTGCCTCTACGGTGCTCACCCATAAAAAGTCCCAATACCAATTAGAGAAAATGAAAAAAAGTGAAAGGTAAGCTGCAAACCATGGCCATCAATGGATGCATTTTTCTGTGTGGTTGTGTTAGGTGGAACGCAATATCAAGTACCAAATACCACAATGATGTTTAATATAATATACCATTGATTGAAATTGACATGTTTCTTTATTTGCTCTCCAAACTTTTACAAAGTTGTTAAATTTTTTTTTAACTTTAATTTTAATTGATTACATTTTAAAACTTTTATAAATAAACAATTTTTCCGAGTTAGATTTTGAATTTTTTTTCATTCATCATGGTCATGCGAACAATGAATACATGACAACTGTATGAAAGTAAAAAGGTAAATTTTTTTGGTAAATTGAGTGGAAAACCAATACATTATAGCTGCTAATTGGACTCCCATAGCTGATTCAAATAGGGGTGGGCATGGGCCAGGCCGGGCCCAAATTTGGAGGTACTAGACCAGACCCTCTTAAAAAGGAAACGGGACGGGCCGGGCCGAGTATTGCAAATCTGATCACTAGAACCAGACCTAACTCGCCCCGTTTCAAACGGGCTGGTTCAGGACTGGTCCACGGGTCCAATTATTATTTTTTTTTCTTTAAACAGATTATTATTATTATTATTTTTCAAAAACACACCCATCAGCACAGCAACACATAATCGAGCAAATTTACATATAAGACATGGCACACTCTTTCATAGTTAGATGCTATCACCATTAGAATCATAACATGCATTTTCTAAGGCTAAAGATTAATTTATGAACATATTATATATCAAGCATGATGAATCAACTGCACAATTGATTAAGAAAATCGCAAAATTGGCCCAAAATCCAAAACTGCAGGGATCTTAGCCTCAGTAGAATTCGTATATATCTGGAGGACGAATGCGTTAAGCTGTTCAAATTAAGCTATCCAATTGTAAAAGAAAAACTACAAGAAGAAATGGCATGACTATTTCAGAATTTTCAGTACAAGAAAGGAACTATCTTTGCCCATGTGCCCCACACTGCGTGCGTAATGCATGAATACCTTATTAATGAGATCCTTCGCAGTAAACTTCAGTGAATCAACCTCTTCTTTGGATTGGCAGGCCTTAAATTTCCCCTTCATCACTTCCAAGTTCCAACTACAAAAAGAAGATAAACATCAGCTATGTTTTATTATAATTTTCCTTATATCAATTAAACTTTACAAGGCACATAAATATTGTATAACCACAGTGCCATAGCAATGAAATCATACAAGTAATAAAATATGGGGAAAAAGGAAATTAAAAGGCTTCATATAAGATAATAGCACAACAGAACATGAGCAGACTTCAGCTAGTTGGGGACTCCAAGAGGGCAATAGCTACTTATTCTCAACTTATCAACTTCATTAAAGAGACTTAGATTACCTCCCAGATTAAAGCATTGATTTGTTTCATGTCCTTTTCGGCCAAATCCAAAAAGACCTGAGATTAGCAAGAGAGGAGAGGAGGGGGGAAGAAAGATTGTAACAGGACTACCAAGGCCATCCCACGGGTCAAAACGCAGATTGGGAAAAGCACACAGACACTGACCTCACCACATGAAATTTCAATTGGGGTCTTGCTCACTTTGAGAACCTAGAATAGAATCTACAAATCTAATTCAAAAATCCTAAATTCCTAAACCAGAAATTCACATAAATAAAAATACCCTAATTCAGAATGACCTAAATTTTAGCATGATGATGGTGGCAGTGTTCTCGATGGTGAATCGATGATGGTCTGGAACCTGGAATCAGAGGACTATGAGCACCCTAATTCAAGAACTCAACAAAATCCCTAAATCTAGAAAACCCTAATTTAATTTTCAATCCTAAATCCCTAAAACGTAATACCTTAAAACTGAAGAGGACTATGAGCAGATTTGAGTCAGACGGAGGAGATGACTAATTCATCGTTTCGAGTTGTTCAACTTCGTTGTTCATCCCTTTAAGTTCGTCAGAGGGAAAGAAACTGATTTCCAGAGAGTGAGTCAGGAAAAGAGATCGAAGCCTGATGATGATGGCAGCGGACTGAGGGAGGAAGATAGAAGCAAATCAGGATGAGAGAGGTCTGAGTGATGATGGTAGCGGTGTATGGAGCTAGGACGATCGGAGAGAGTTAGGAGGAGAGAGGTCTGAGTGAAATGAGAGGAGTCGGGAGGAGAGTTCGAGAAGACCAGGAAGAGGAAACAATTTCTTCTATTATTCATTCTAGAAACGGGCCGGGCCGGGGGCCCGTCCACTTCTATTTCAAGATCCGCCCCACCCCGCTAATGTCGTATTCCCGAACCGCCCCACCCGTTTTGTGTTTAGAAATTTTGGACCCGGCCCTTACCCGCCCCAAACAACGGGTACCTGCCCCTACCCACGGGTCCATGACCTGTTTGCCCACCCCTAGATTCAAACAGAAAGTATTTGAAGTCAACTAGAGGAAGAGAAGAAGGGAAAAAAAAAAAAAAGCAATTTGAAGTCCACATTAGGAATAAAATTACTTTATTGGTCTCAAACATTTGTTTTGAATGAAAAAATCCAATATCTAATTTTAGGATTAAAAATTGATTATTATAAAAGTTTAGGCAAATAATTGATTAAAATTAAAATTCATATAGAAATTAGAAACTGTTTACAAGCTTGGGGAGGAGAGAATAGACAAATAACTCATTAAAATTATCAACAAACCTTATTCCTACTAATCTTTATAAAAAAATTTAAATTGAAATTGACCAAGTTTTTTTCTTGACTTCGCTATCTTCGGTCGTCACTTTGACAAAATATGCAATCTGGTCCATATTTCTATTTGATATTCATTAAATTTAGCAGGTGACCTAATCCAAGTCAGTCATAGACAACAAACGAGCGTTAAAATAAGTGAAGGTGGGGCCTTCACGTAATTTAACAATGGTAGAGGATTTTTTTCCCTCCTAATCTCTCTCCTCCTTTCCTCCCTTTCTATTTGAACGGTTATAGTTTAGCTCTGTCAACATCTTATATTGATTTTTTTTTATAAAGATAATAAGATAAAAAACAATATGTGAGAGGGGAGAAGGAAAAAGAATGAGAATATGATAGGAGAGAATCCTACTCCTTTAACAATAACTTGAACACTTTTAAAGTTTTACTCACCACCAATACACCTTATCATTTGACACATGTCATTTCAATTAACTCTGGTTAACTTTAATTTTTTTTTTAACAAACGATATTATTTACACTAAAAGGGAGGGAATGAACTTAGCCTCACAATGAGCTAGCAATAATTTGGTACAAATTCGTTTTTTACGAGATTAAATCCAAAACCTCTTATTTACATGTGAAGATGAATACTACTAGACTATGATACTAAGTGAGCGGTTAATTTTAATAATAAATGTTCTTTTCCAATTTTGAAAAAATTAACTATGGTTAAGAAAGGAGCAAAAATTAACTGGTATTACAAAAACGAGTGGCTCAGAGACACCAAACACGGCAGCTTCAGCACCACACAAAAGCTAAAAGCAGCTGCTCACTTAGCTTGTTTTTGCCATTTTCTTCTGCATAAACGTATTATTGTCACAGACGGAGGAGCGGAGGTGGTAAGTTTTTACCCAAAAAGCAAATTAGCAGGTATGATTTTTTATGATTTCTTTTCTTGTAATTTTGGTTTTAACAATGGAGTGCATCTTTTTATTTCCAACTTATTTATTGAGGTTTACAGAAACAATTAGTTTAATCAAGTAGGACTTCTCTTAAATATTAGAATCTGTCTCCTGTAATTTAGATTTTAGAATATTATTTTGATAAAAGTCTAAATTTTTCTGGTTGTTTAATTTGAATAACCATTTTTCAATTGAGGGGAAATATCAAATTAAAAAACTCGAGAAAACTTAATATAAATCTAATTATTATTAAGAATAATTTACTTATTGAAGTAAGTTCAGTAATTAGGAATTAAATCTCTTCCTCATCTACCTCTCACGGCTGGGTTTATCTTCATAATTTTTTTTTCAGGTGCACTTCTGCTTACTATCATCAAGTGGTCTGACATCCTATTTATCATCGTTGGTTGAGTTTAAATTTTAAGGTATATATCTATCCGCTCCATATATCTTCAAAGGTGGAACTAGAAAATTTACGGCCGGTGGGCTAGCCAAGAAGTATAAAAAAAAGTTGGTTTTTTTGAAAAATGACTATACGTTAATGCTATAAGAAAAGCTTGTTCAATTATTCTATGTTCATCGACTTTTAATATGGCAAATATATACATAAATAAACAGAAAAAGTTTAACACACTGTAAAAAAATTTAAATAGATAAAAATCATGCATAAAATAATGGGTAAATTACATTTTCATACTCAGGTTTAGGATCTATTTTAATTCCTTACAATATCTTTAAAACATTTCATTTTTATACATTAAGTACTATTTTATTTCAAAATAATACATCTGTTACATTTTTCATTCATTGATCCGTTAAATGTTGATGTGACTGTCACATATATGAATTAAAAAAAAAAACACTTGAAAACGCAGAAAAAAAATTTTAATTTTTTTTAAAATATGAATTAAAAAAAAAAAAAAAACACTTGAAAACGCAGAAAACCACCTCCCCCCCCACAAAAAAAAAACCCCTCTTCTCCCTCCCAAGCATCCCAACCACCTCCCTCTCTTCCACTCTCTTCACCTTCCCTCCCATCCAAAAACCCATCCCATCCCACCCAAAACCTAAATTTTCTCACCTAAAAAAAAAAAAAAAAAAAAAAATTGAAACACACAGCGACCCATAGTCTGCAACAAGAAGAAGAAGAAGAAGAGGAAGAGGGAGGAAGAAAGGGGAAAAAAAAAATCCCTACCCACCACCTCGACCCAGCTCCTTTCCATCCCGCCCTCCCTTCCCCCGGTAACCCTCCTTGCCTGGACCCTTCCCCCCGCCCCGTGCGACCCACCCCTCGTGCGAAGATGATTTCTTGGAATTTTTTTTTTTCCTCGTTCTCCTCCTCCTTCTTCTTCTTCTTGTTGCAGGTTTAGAGATGTTGGGATGCTTGGGAGGGAGAAGAGGGGTTGCGAGGGTGGGGTGGGTTTCTGTGTTTTCAAGTTATTTTTATTTTATTTTATTTTTTATTTTTATTTTCAATTCAGGTTTTTTTTTAATATTGTTTTTGTCACGTGGTATATATGTGACAACCATGTCAGCCCTTAACGGATCAATGGATGGAAAATGTAACGAATGTATTATTTTGAAATAAAATAGTACTTAAAGTATAAAAGTGAAATGTTTTGAAAATGTTGTAAAGAATTAAAATGGATCCTAAGTCTAAGGTATGAAAATATAATTTACCCTAAAATAATGCAAAAACTGAATCATGCAACGAGTTGCTTTTGAAAAGAATTAAAAGCACTATTAAAGTAAGTAATTATTGTCACGATTTACCATAAATGAATAGTATATGAACTATAAAATAGATTTTGTTGGAAAATAAGTAGTATTGGTTAATGAAGTAAATAAATAAAAGGGTTCTTTAGATATAGACTCTTGCAACTCTTATTTTCTAGATAAAAACCCACCTAGTTATAAACATGTAAACAAAACCCAAATTTAAAAATGACTACCAAGTATAGAAGTAATTGACCTATTATTACAAAATATTATATATATACACACACACGCGCACACACACATATACATGCATAGTACTACATATATGATCAAACATATTAAACTAATTAATCTACCTATATTTAAATTTATGATGAGCAAATAACATATATTTTGTAGGTAATTTATTTTTCATGTATTATTACATATATTTGGCACATTTTATTGTTATAAGATATATGTACAAATAATAGGTAAATTAATCTTGAATAAAATACAATTGCTTTATTTTGCAAGTAAATTAATTTTGAATCAAATAACATTTCTTCATTATGTAGGTATTTTATTTTGTATGTATCATCATATATATTGAGCACATTTTATTATTATATGTACAAATAATAGGTAAACTAGTATTGAATAAAATAATAACATTTTTTTATGTAGGTATATTATTCTGCATATATTTGGGTTTACTTTTATTATGTAGGTAAATTATTTTGCATGAATTTTTATGTATATCATGCACGTTTTTTGTTGTTGTTATATATATGTGTGTGTGTGAAATAATTTACCTACATTTATATGTAAAATATAATTTTTATTGACTTAACTAAGCATGTATTACTACATTTATTAGGCATGTTTTATTGTTATTATATATTATGCAATGAATTTATTATTTTTTTAGTTTTGTAAAATCATTAATTATCCCTTACAATTTGTATGGAATTAATTGTGTAAATCTAACATTCAAATAGGGGTGTTTTGGGCATTGAAAATTTTTAAATGTGTAAAGTCAAATATAATTAATGAATTTGTTGATGTGAAATCTAGTCAATTGGTTTTATTCTTGTAAAAAACTTATGTCGGGTTTTATGTGGAGAAAAATAAGTTTCATGGACTCAAGTCATATTTTCAGTAAATATAAAATAAATACATGGGCTAATAGTGAGATGAATATAAAAATAAATGAAATATAGGGAATAATTGGTTTGTAACCACAAGAGCTACCTAGGCTATAGCCCAGGGTAGCCTTGTACTTGGCTCCGCCTTTGTATATCTTGAAATTTAAACTCATTTTACAGTGATAAATTGAGTAATGAGCATATAAATTACATGGAATAGATGTTTCTAGACTACCTGCAACGTAGATCAATTTCCTATTTTGGTAAAATACTTGCTAGTTAGGAATTGTATTCTCTAATTAAAGAATTTAAATATTTTTATCTAAAAAGGTAAAATTGGTATAAAAACATGTAATTAGATTACTCGACTCGTTCCAAAAAACAACTTATATTTTTGGACCTGAATAAAAAATTATCTTAAAACTTATTATATAATGTCCTCAAGTGTAATTTACTTTTATATTTCCTTCTTTACTGCAGTTGGGCAAAGCTTCATACTTCATCTTCTCAAACATGTTTAAGAGGATCACATTCATCTTGTTGGTTGGATTGCTGGCGTGGGCATATCAGGCCGCCCGACCACCACCTCCAAACATCTGTGGTTCGCCTGGCGGTCCACCCGTAACAGCGCCTAGAATAAGGCTAAGGGATGGAAGATTTTTGGCCTACATGGAACATGGTGTTCCAAAACAAGTGGCAAAGCACAAGATTATCTTTGTTCATCCCTTCAGTAGTTCCCGACACGATCTGATCATTACAATATCCATCTCTCCGGTACTGCCTTGCATGATTCTCTGTCACTTTTCAGTTAACCTCTATGTTGGTTGATTTCGTAGTGGATTTTTTTCTTTTTCTTTTCTCAGGAAGTCATTGAAGATTTAGGTGCGTACATTGTGTCTTTCGACAGACCAGGGTACGGGGAAAGTGATCCGGATCCTAAGAGAACAGCAAAGAGCTTGGCGTTAGATATAGAGGAGCTTGGTGATCAGCTGGAACTCGGATCCAAATTTTATGTAATTGGATACTCAATGGGAGGACAGTGCATCTGGAAGTGTCTTCAGTACATCCCTCATAGGTAAGATTTTACAAGAAGCCTCCTTCGGTACCAGATGATGCGTCGTTCCGTACCGAAATTTTTTTTCTAAAGTTTGATGTGTTTGGGATGCCTATTACAACAGGCTAGCAGGAGCAGCGCTGATTGCTCCGGTGATCAACTACTGGTGGCCAGGACTTCCTGCCAACCTGTCGTCGTATGCCTATAAGAAGCAACCTCCGCAGGATCAATGGGCGCTTCGAGCTGCTCACTATATACCTTGGTTAACCTACTGGTGGAACACTCAGAAATTCTTTCCTAAATCCAGTGTTGTATCCGAGAAACCAGAGAATATGTTTTCCCGCCAAGATTGGGAAATCTTTAGAAATGCAAAGGTTTCTGGAAGAGAAAAGCACAAGGTACTTTCCTTATTCGATCGCTAATTGTTTAGGATTTTATAGAAACTCGGCAGCGTTGATGATTTTTCTTTTGTTTTGTTTTGTTATTTGTTTGGGCAGGCATATGTCACGCAGCAAGGAGAAACTGAGTCCATCTTTCGCGACATGGTAGTTGGATTTGGGAGCTGGGAATTTGATCCTATGGATCTGCAGAACCCTTTTGCCAGCAACGAAGGCTCGGTCCATCTGTGGCAGGGTGACGAAGATAAACTTGTCCCAGTTGAGCTGCAACGCTATATTGCCGAAAAGCTTCCATGGATTCACTACCATGAGTTACCAGGTGGTGGACATTTGTTGCCAGCTGCAGATGGAATGAGTGAAGTCATTTTAAAGGCACTTCTAATTAAAGAGTAGACCATTGACGTCGTCGATACAGGGCAGCTCTCTCAGAGATGCTACATTGTAGAAATGATAAGAGTATTTTTTTTTTTTTTTGGAGATGCTCTAATGATTTGGTTGTAACCAAAATTTTATAGAAATAATAAAGGAATTCTTTCAAGAGTAAGACTTTCAATGGGCTCTCTATACTTCATGTTTTTTACACATTATTTTATAATGTTCGCACGACAGTTGATGTTAAACTGTAAAATATCAGAAAGTTGATAAAAAATTCTACTTTGAAGAGAATTCCATTAGCATTTGTAAGACTTTCAATGGGCTATCTATACTTAATATTTTTTACACAATATTTTATAACGTTCACACGATAATTAATGTTAAACTGTAAAATATCTGAAAGTCGATAAAAAATTCTACTTTGAAGAGAACTCCATTAGCATTTGTCTACTCTTATTAGGACAACTAACAACCCCCGCATTTATACTTGTCTATTATGTCGTGTTGTTGTGCAGACTTCAACTTTTGGATTGGACTAACCAACAACCACCCCTGCCTCTGCCTGCCTGTTCAATGCTGACTCATTAAAATCCCAACCCAATAGAGAAAAAGAATAAAAGCGAAGAGGAAGGCTGCCAACTTATAATATGCCATTAATTAAAATTGACCTATTTCTTGATTTGCCTCCGAACTTTTATGTAACTGTCATTTTTTTTTTTTTAAATTTTTTTTTTTAGCTGATTCTTATTTTAAACTATTATAAATAATCAATTTTTTCCTGTTAGATTTTAAATTTTTTCTTCCATTTTGATCAGGCAAACAACACATGACAATTGTTTGAAGACAAAAAGGTAATTTTATTTTGGTAAATTGGGTGCAAAGCTAATACTTTGCAGCTACTAATTCAAATAGAGAGTGAACGGCATCGAGAAATTCGAGAAGGAAAAAACAAAAAGCAATTTGAGTGAACCACGTCGAGGAGGTGGAGAAGGAAAAAACAAAAAGCAATTTGAGTGAACCGCGTTGAGGAGGTGGAGAAGGATAAAAAAAAGCAATTTGATGTCTAGGAATAAAATTACTTTATTGCCCTCATACATTTGTTGTGATCAAAATAGAAGAAAATTTCCAAAATCTAACATTAAGGGAAAATTTGGTTAATTATAACAATTTAGGCGAGTAATCGACTAAAATTAAAATTTATACATAAATTTAGCAACATTTTACAAGTTCAGAAGGAAGGAAGGAGATAGACAAATATCTCATTAAAATAACCAACAAAACTTATTCCTCCAAATCTTTAAAAAAAGTTTAAAATTAAGATGGACAATTTTTCTTCGCGTCTCCATCTACGTTCGTCACTTTGTCAAAATATGCAATCTGACTTTCATATTTCTATTATTATTTTTCTTTAAAATCCAACAGATTGTCTAAGTCGAAGCCAATTCTAGACAATAAAGGAGCCCTGAAATAGGTGAAGGTGGGTTCCTTCACATAATTCAACAACCACATAAAAGCTAAAAGCAGCTTCAGCACCACACAAAAGCTAAAAGCAGGTGCTCACTCAGCCTGGTTTCTGCCATTTTCTTCTACATAAACTTATTACTATCACAGAGGGAGGAGCGTTGGTGGTAAGTTTTTACCAAAAAACCACATTAGCAAGTATTATTTTTTATGATTTCTTTTCTTGTGGTTTTGGTTAAACAATGGAGTGCATCTTTTAATTTGCAACTTATTTATTGATTGTTTGCGTTTACAGAAACAATTGGTATAATCAAATTAGCTAGAACAGTGTTTCTCTTATATATTAAAATCCGCATCTTATAGTTTTGATATTGTAATATCGTTTTCGATAAAAGTAAAGTGTGTGTATTTGTTTTCTTTATACTTGATTGTCCATTTTTCTGGTTGTTGTTTGATTTAAATAACCTTTCATCAATTGACGGGAAGTAGCAAATTAAAAAACTCGAGAAAACTTACTATAAGTCTAATTTTTTGAACTATTATTAAGAATAGTTTACTTGTTGAAATAAATTCAGTGATTAGGAACTAAATCTCTTCCTGACATACTTCTCACGGCTCATTTTATCTTCATAATTTCTTTTCGGGTGCATTTTTGCTCACGAATCATTATTATCAAGTGATGATAATACTCACAACTCTATTTATCATTGTTTGATGAGTTTAAATTTTAAGGTCTGTATCTATTTACTACACATATGTAAAATTTAAACTCATTTTACGATAATAAATAAAGTAGTGAGAATCACTATCACTTGAGAATAGTAAGCAGAACTATTCCTTTTCTTTTTTTTTTTTCTTTTGGTTCTTCTTTCTCATTTTTGTATGGCATCTGCTACTGCTTTGTTCTTAAATGTAGAAATGAATTCCCCTTATTGAACCTCGTTTGGTCAAGTCTGATTAAAGCACTCCAACCAACCCAACAAATACGAGACAGGTGGCACCAAAGCACCATGGAAGCATTCTCCTCCTTTATTTCTTGTTTTCTTTTTAATCAACTCATTTTATTGTATCTTTGTGTTTTTGTTCCTCACATTTCAAACTTCAAACATCTTCGATCTTTTCTTTTCTCTCACAAATCATCATCTCCTTTCTCAAAATGTATTACAATGTTTTTATGCATACGAAGGTATTATAATGTTTTTATGCATACGAAAAAAGATGGATATATAGTTTCAAATATATGATCATTTGATTACTTACCACGTAAATCGATTTTCTATTTTAAATGCTTAGGAATTGTATTCTCTAATTAAAGTATTTAAATATTTTTATCTAAAAAGGTAAAATTAGTATAAAAATATTTAATTAGATTACTGAACTCACTTCCGAAAAAAAAAATTTTTGGACCTAAATCTAAAAGCACTTTAAAACTTATTATACAATGATGTCCTCAAGTGTAATGTTATTTTTCTATTTGCTTCTTTACTGCAGGCGAGCAAAGTTTCATACTTTCCATCTTCTCATAACATGTTTAAGAGGATCACATTCATCTTGTTGGTTGGATTGCTGGCGTGGGCATATCAGGCCACCCGACCACCACCTCCGAACATCTGTGGTTCGCTTGGCGGTCCACCCGTCACAGCGCCTAGAATAAGGCTAAGGGATGGAAGATTTTTGGCCTACAAGGAACATGGTGTTCCAAAACAAATGGCCAAGTACAAGATTATCTTTGTTCATCCCTTCTTTAGTTCCCGACATGATCCAATCATTGCAACAGCCGTCTCTCCGGTACTGCCTTGCTTGATTCTTTGTCATTTTTCAGTTCAACTCTTTATTGGTTGACTTCGTGGTGGGTGTTTTTTTTCTTTCCTCAGGACGTTATTGAAGATTTAGGTGTGTACATTGTGTCTTTCGACAGACCAGGGTACGGTGAAAGTGATCCGGATCCTAAGCGGACAACGAAGAGCTTGGCGTTAGATATAGAGGAGCTTGGTGATCAGCTGGAACTCGGATCCAAATTTTATGTGATTGGATACTCAATGGGAGGACAGGTCATCTGGAAGTGTCTTCGGTACATCCCTCATAGGTAAGATTTTGCAAGCAGCCTCTTTACCTGATGATGCATCGTTCGGTACTGAAAATTTTCTCTAAAGTTCGATGTGTTTGGGATGCCTGTTACGACAGGCTAGCTGGAGCAGCACTGATCGCTCCGGTGATTAACTACTGGTGGCCAGGACTTCCTGCCAACCTGTCATCTTATGCCTATAAGAAGCAAGCTCCACAGGATCAATGGGCGCTTCGAGCTGCCCACCATATACCTTGGTTAACCTACTGGTGGAACACTCAGAATTTCTTTCCTAAACACAGCATTTTTTCCGGGAAAGTAGAGAATATGTTTTCCCGCCAAGATTGGGAAACCATTAGGAATGCAAAGGTTTGTGGAAGAGAAAAGCACAAGGTACTTTCCTTATTAGATCGCTAATTGTTTAGGATTTCATAGAAACTCGGCAGCGTTGATGATTTTTCTATTGTTTTGTTTTGTTATTTGTTTGGGCAGGCATATGCCACTCAGCAAGGAGAAGCTGAGTCCATCTTTCGCGAGATGGTAGTTGCATTTGGGAGCTGGGAATTTGATCCTATGGATCTGCAGAACCCTTTTGCCAGCAACGAAGGCTCGGTCCATCTATGGCAGGGTGACGAAGATAAGCTTGTACCAGTTGAGCTGCAACGCTATATTGCCGAAAAGCTTCCATGGATTCACTACCATGAGTTACCAGGTGGTGGACATTTGTTGCCAGCTGCAGATGGAATGAGTGAAGTCATCTTAAAGGCACTTCTAATTAAAGAGTAGACCATTGACGTCGTCGATACAGGGCAGCTCTCTCAGAGATGCTACATCATAGAAACGATACAATATCGTTTTTTTTTTTGGAGATGCTGTATTGGTATGGTTGTAATCAAAATTTTATAGTGATAAAAGGGACTCGTCAAGAGTAAGACTTTAAACGGACTCTCTATACTTTATGTTTTTTACACAATATTTTATAATGTTCGCACAATAATTGATATTAAACTATAAAATATCAGAGAGTCAATAAAATATTTCACTTGGAAGAGAATTTCATTAGCATTTGTCTACTCTTATTAGGACAACTAACAACCCCCGCATGTATACTTGTCTATTATGTTGTCGTCTATTACGTCGTGCTGTTTAGCAGCCTCCCAACTTTTGGATTGGACTAACCAACAATCACCCCTGCCTCTGCCTGCCTGTTCAATGCTGACTCATAAAAATCCCAACCCAATAGAGAAAAAGAATAAAAGCGAAGAGGAAGGCTGCCAACTTATGATATGTCATTACTTAAAATTGACCTATTTCTTGATTTGCCTCCGAACTATTATGCAACTGTTAATTTTTTTTTTTTTGAAATTTAATTTTAGCTGATTATTATTTTAAACTGTTATAAATAGTCAATTTTTTCCTGTATTTTGGTCACACAAATAACATATGACAATTGTACGAAGGCAGAAAGGTAATTTTATTTTGGTAAATTGGGTGCAAAGCTAATACTTTGCAGGTACTAATTCGAATAGATAGTGAACGGCATCGAGGAAGTCGAAAAGGAAAAAACAAAAAGCAATTTGAATGACCCGTGTCGAGGAGGTGGAGAAGGAAAAAACAAAAAGCAGTTTGATGTCCACATTAAGAATAAAATTACTTTATTGTTCTCAAACATTTGTTGTGACCAAAATAGAATAAATTTTCCAAAATCTAACATTAAGGGAAAATTTGGCTAATTATGACAATTCAGGTGAGTAATCAACTAAAATTAAAATTTATACATAAATTTAGCAACTTTTTACAAGTTCAAAAGGAAGGAAGGAGATAGACAAATATCTCATTAAAATTACCAACAAAACTTATTCCTCCAAATCTTTATAAAAAGTTTAAAATTAAGATGGACAATTTTTCTTCGTGTCTCCATCTACGTTCGTCACTTTGACAAAATATGCAATCTGACTTTCATATTTCTATTTTTTTTTTTCTTTAAAATCCGGCAGATTGTCTAAATCAAGCCAGTTCTAGACAAGAAACGAGCCCTGAAATAGGCGAAGGTGGGTTCCTTCACGAAATTCAACAACAACATAAAAGCTACAAGCAGCTTCAGCACCACACAAAAGCTAAAAGCAGGTGCTCACTTAGCCTGGTTCTGCCATTTTCTTCTGCATAAACTTATTATTATCACAGAGGGAGGAGCGTTGGTGGTAAGTTTTTACCAAAAACCACATTAGCAAGTATGTTTTTTTATGATTTCTTTTCTTGTGGCTTTGGTTAAACAATGGAGTGCATCTTTTAATTTGCAAGTTATTTATTGATTGTTTGCGTTTACAGAAAAAATTGGTATAATCAAATTAGCTAGAACAGTGTTTCTCTTATATATTAAAATCTGCATCTTATAGTTTTGATATTGTAATATCGTTTTCAATAGAAGTAAAGTGTGTGTATTTGTTTTCTTTATCCTTGATTGTCCATTTTTCTGGTTGTTGTTTGATTTAAATAACCTTTCATCAATTGACGGGAAGTAGCAAATTAAAAAACTCGAGAAAACTTACTATAAGTCTAATTTTTTGAACTATTATTAAGAATAGTTTACTTGTTGAAATAAATTCAGTCATTAGGAATTAAATCTCTTCCTGACGTACTTCTCACAGCTCGTTTTATCTTTATAATTTCTTTTCGGGTGCATTTTTGCTCACAAATCATTATTATCAAATGATGATAATACTCACAACTCTATTTATCATCATTTGATGAGTTTAAAATTTGAGGTCTGTATCTATTTACTACACATATATAAAATTTAAACTTATTTTACGATAATAAATAGAGTAGTGAGAATTACTTTCACTTAAGAATAGTAAGCAGAACTATTCCTTTTCTTTTTTTCTTCTTTTGGTTCTTCTTGTTAACCCAATATCTCATATTCAATGAAGATAGAGAGAGAGAGAGAAAGAGAAAGAGAAAGAGGATTGTAGAGAGAATTCAGAGGGAAAATATGATTGTATTAATATCTTTTTTCTTAATCAGGAAGCTATTACAAGATGGAGTATTTATATCCATAGCAAACCGACTCTTCTAACAAATATAACAGACAAGCTAATCTGTTTACATGTGGCATCATCTCAGCCTTACATTCGTATACTTCTAACATCCCCCCGCAATCTCATGCTTGGAACTGCCAAGCATTAGATTGTTACAATGAAACTTAAACAAAGGAGCACTCAATCCTTTTGTGAGAATATCCGCAAATTGTTCTTGAGAAGACACAAATTGAACACTCAATTTGTTCTTGGCAACCCTCTCTCGAACAAAGTGAACATCTATCTCAATATGCTTAGTGCGCTGATGTTGTACTGGATTGAAGGATAAGGCAATTGCTGAAAGATTATCACAAAACAACACAGGTGAAGAACGAACAGAAACCTTCAAGAAAGCCAGAAGTTGTTGTATCCAGTCTAACTCAGCAGCCGTGGACGATAGTGCCCGATATTCAGCTTCAGTAGATGATCGAGAAACAGTTTGTTGTTTCTTAGATGACTAAGAGATGGGATTGGTACCTAAGAAGACAACTAAACCGGTTGTAGACCTCCTATCATTAGGATCTCCTGCCCAGTCAGCATCACTAAAAGATATTAGATTCAGCTCCAGAGTAGCAGACGAAGACTTGTAGAATGCGGAAGCAACAAAGGATCGGATCTTTATGCGTGAGCAACAATGGCGATTGATACCATGTTAACCCAGTATCTCAGATTCAATGAAGATAGAAATATGTGAGCCCCAGATGCATAGTCCCTTTTAAGTACCTTAAGATCCTCTTCACTGCTGTAAAATGAGAATTCATTGGTGCTTGCATAAACTGGCACACCTGATGAACAGAAAAGGCAATATCGGGCCTAGTAAATGTAAGGTACTGAAGAGCCCCTACTATACTCTTGTACATGGTTGGATTGTTATAGGGCTGACCATCATCCTTCAATAGCCGATTATAAGGGAGACATGGCGTATCACAAGCTTTAGAATCAATCATTTCTGTTTTATGCAGCAGATCCCGTATGTATTTAGTCTGTGATAAGAACAGACCATTGGTACGCCTAGTAATCTGAATACCCAAGAAAAAATGGAGAGTTCCCAAATCCTTTATATCAAACTCAGTTGTGAGAGAGTGAATGACCTGTGTAATTGCTGCAGAACTGCTCCCTGTGATGATTATATCATCAACATACAACAATAAAATCACAACAGATTCACCAGCATGCTTGACAAAAAGAGAAGAATCAGAATATGTATGTTGAAACCCCAGAGAAGGTAGAAATGCAGTAAACCTTTCATTCCAAGCCCGAGGGGCTTGTTTTAACCCATAGAGGGACTTGTGTAACTTACAAACTAACTCAGGGTGTTTAGCATCTACAAACCCGGGAGGTTGAGCCATATATACCTCTTCTTGAAGAACGCCATGCAAAAAAGCGTTTTTGACATCAAGTTGTCGAAGGGGCCAATCAAATTGAGCTGCTAATGCCAAAACTAACCTGACAGTAGTTGGCTTTACTACAGGACTGAAGGTTTCTCCATAGTCTAAACCAGGTTCTTGGCTAAACCCTTTTGCGACCAACCGAGCTTTATGCCGAGCTATAGATCCATCAGAGTGCTTTTTGACCTTTAATACCCATTTGCAGCCCACTAAGTTCTTTTGAGGTGGTAAAGGAACCAAACTCCATGTCCCTTGTTTATACAATGCATCTAGTTCTTCTATCATAGCATTGAACCAAACTGGAACCTTGAGTGCAGATTTGTAAGTAGCAGGTTCCACCAAAGAAAGATCAACAGGTGGAGACTCATCACATGTGGTCAAGAGTGCCTTCTTTTTAACAATTCCACTTTTACTCCTTGTTTGCATAGGATGTAAATTGAGTGGAGGTATTGGTAATACAACTTGTAGACTATCAGGACTAAAATCAATTGCCACAGGGATCTCAGGATAGGAATTTGCAGCTGCAGTAATGGACTGAGAAACAGGATTTGAGGTTACTGGTTGTGAGGATACTAATGAAGGGGGAGTGGAAACAGAATGATGTAATGGTGTAACAACAGGACTATGAGATGATAAACTTGGTGACACAGGTATAGAAGATGTATGGGATGATGCATGAGATGGGAATGTAACTAATTCATTAAGACTATTAGTGATAGGTAATGGATGTGTAAAAGGTGCTGCTGTAGAAGATTGTGTAGATATCTTATGTAAAGAATTAACTACTGTCAATAAGGCTGAATAAGGAAACTCTGTCTCATCAAAGATCACATGTCTAGAAATGTAGAATCTTTGACTTAACACCTCATAACAGATATACCCTTTATATTTAGAAGCATACCCAAGAAAAACACATTTGGTTGTTTTTGGTTGCAATTTGGTATTGTTGTAAGGCTTAAGAAGAGGATAACAGGTACACCCGAAAACCCTTAAGTGTGAAATGACAGGTAAATCCCCAAACAAAAGCTCAAAAGGTGACTTATTCTGCAAAGTTGCAGAGGGCATCCTATTGATGAGATAGTTAGCAGTTTGACAACCAAATGACCAAAAACGGGATGGCAATTGAGCATTTTGGAGAAGTGTAATTGTGGTTTCTACCAAGTGTCTATGTTTCCTTTCTGCTAAACCGTTTTGCTCAGGGGTATAAGGACAAGAAATTTGATGGGAAATGCCTTTTTCTTTAAGAAACCTTTGAAATCTGTGACTAAGGTATTCCCCACCCCCATCACTTTGTAACAATTGAAGTGAAACTGAGAATTGATTCAACACAAATGAATAAAAACCAACAAATGTGTCAAACAAATCTGATTTATTGATGAGAGGAAACAGCCAACAAAACCGAGTACATTCATCAATGAATGTTACATAATATCGAAAACCATCAGCAGAAATACATGGTGTTGGCCCCCAAATGTCACTATGAACAACTTCAAAAGGTTTAACAGCCTTATTGACACTACAATGAAATGGCAGTTTGCTAAACTTGCCTTCTAAGCAACTTTGACACAACACAGGTAATGAAGATTTTGTACAAGGTATTTTAGCTTTACTGAGCATTAAAGACACAATGGGTTTTGAGGGATGACCTAGTTTACTATGCCAAATAGTAGATGTGACAAGCTGACCAAGGAAGGCTGTGGGTTGCAAAATCGATTTCTGAGATGCAGGATGATGATTGACAAGTGAAGGTATTGGATATAGCCCATTACTGCAAATTCCTTTGAACAGTATCCTCCCTGTAGCCTTGTCCTGTATCCAAAAATTATATGCATCAAATATGAGCCAACAGTTGTTGTCAAGGCAGATTCTATGCACAGATAACAAGTTTTGAGACAATTTAGGCACATATAGTATAGAATTTGGGATGAATATGAGGTTTGAGAATTGTACTCCCAATATGAGATACTTTCAGACCTTCACCATTAGCAGTGTGCACTGTTTCAGAAGTAGGATAAGGAGTGGCCAAGGTCAAATTGTTGAAGTCAGCAGTCATATGGTTGGTGGCACCGGAGTCCGCAATCCAAACTTGAGGTGAAGCAGCCGGAGTGGAGGACATTCCAGGTGTTGACTGTGAGGGTTGAGAAAACACAGTGTTCATTGCTTGCATAGAGTATTGTGGAGGAGAGGAATTAGGGAACATGCCAAACTGTGGTTGTGATAGGCGAGGATCTTTATCCTTGTGAAAACAATACTGAGCCGTGTGATTTTGTTGGCCACAAATGTAGCACTTAGGCTTGGACCGGAATTGATTAGGACAGAAAGGTGCAGTGTGTCCTTCTTGATAGCACAGTTGACAAGTATTATAAGGATCAGGATAACTACCATAAGCTTGCTGAGGTGCATGACTAAGAAGACCTGGACTTGGAGTTGGAAGCACTCGAGTTTGAGTGTTATATGACTGCCTTGGCATGTTGAATCTGTTGCCTTGATTAAAGTTGCCCTTGCCTTTGTATTTATTGTTGTATTGCCGAAAACCATAGTTGGATTGCCCAGAATTAGAAGAATGACTAGAACAATGATCACTAGAACCCCTGTCAGTAGTAGAAGAATTGGTAGCCAACATTGCAGACAGCATCTGAGCATTAGTACTTGCATCAACAATTCCTTCCTCAGCAAGCAATTAAGATCGAAACTCTTTCAACGAGATGACCTTTTCTCTTCCACGAATGACACACCGAAATGTGTTATATTCAGGAGGTAATCCATTTAAAGCCAAAATCACAATATCTTCATCTTCAAAGAACACTCCTGCAGCAGAGAGATAATCTTGAGCCTCTTTGATTCTCTGCAGATACTGAGAAATTGTATTGGAGCCTTTTTTAATGTTTTGTAAGTCAGACTTCATCTGAAAGATACTAGTTCTTGAAACTGTCGAAAAATTGTCTTTGAGACGAGTCCAAATGTCCTGAGAACTAGTACTCCCTATAGCGCAAGAAACAGCTACAGGGGATAGTGTAGCCGTTATCAATTGCATAAGTGCACGATCATGCAATTTCCACACTTTATATTCATCAGTTTCAACATTAGCAGATGAATCACCAAAACTGACTTCAGATGCAACAGAAGAAGAAGATACAAAACGAGGAGGACATGGGGACGAACCATCAACAAACCCCATAATTCCATATCCCTCCAGCATTAATTCCATTTGAAAATGCCAATTAAGGTAATTAGAGTCATCCAATTTGACATTCACAGAAGTGGACACAGAGGAAATCAACCCAGTAATCGGAGATTGCAAAATCTGAAGTTGCGAAGCAGTAACCATGGTTATATACAACGAAACTGAGTGAGATAATACCTTTTTGTGGCTCAGACAAAAAAGCAAACACCTGGTGTGCAGTCGAAAAACACCCAGAAAACAAGAATCATGACTTGATTTAGAAACCCTAGAATCTTGAACACCAAGAGAAATCACCAAGAGAAGAAACGATGCAGCTCCAGAGTAGCAGACGAAGACTTGTAGAATGCGGAAGCAACAAAGGATCGGATATTTATGCGTGAGCAACAATGGCGATTGATACCATGTTAACCTAGTATCTCAGATTCAATGAAGATAGAGAGAGAGAGAAAGAGAAAGAGAAAGAGGATTGTAGAGAGAATTCAGAGGGAAAATATGATTGTATTAATATCTTTTTTCTTAATCAGGAAGCTATTACAAGATGGAGTATTTATATCCATAGCAAACCGACTCTTCTAACAAATATAACAGACAAGCTAATCTGTTTACATGTGGCATCATCTCAACCTTACATTCGTATACTTCTAACACTTCTTTCTCAATTTTGTATGGCATCTGCTACTGCTTTGTTCTTAAATGTAGAAATGAATTCCCCTTGTTGAATCTCGTTTGGTCAAGTCTGATTAAAGCACTCCAACCAACCTAACAAATATGAGACAGGTGGCACCAAAGCACCATGGAAGCATTCTCCTCTTTTATTTCTTGTTTTCTTTATAATCAACTCATTTTATTGTATCTTTGTGTTTTTGTTCCTCACGTTTCAAACTTCAAACATCTTCGATCTTTCTTTTCTCTCACAAATCATCATCTCCTTTCTCAAAATGTATTATAATGTTTTTATGCCTACGAAAAAAGGTGTATATTTAGTTTCAAATATATGATCATTTGATTACTTATCACGTAAATCAATTTTCCATTTTAAATACTTAGGAATTGTATTCTCTAATTAAAGAATTTAAATATTTTTATCTAAAAAGGTAAAATTAGTATAAAAACATTTAATTAGATTACTGAACTTACTCCCGAAAACAGCTCTTTTTTGGACCTAAATCTAAAAGCTCTTTAAAACTTATTTTACACAATGATGTCCTCAAGTGTAATGTTATTTTTCTATTTGCTTCTTTACCGCAGGTGAGCAAAGTTTCATACTTTCCATCTTCTCATAACATGTTTAAGAGGATCACATTCATCTTGTTGGTTGGATTGCTGGCGTGGGCATATCAGGCCGCCCGACCACCACCTCCGAACATCTGTGGTTCGCCTGGCGGTCCACCCGTCACAGCGCCTAGAATAAGGCTAAGGGATGGAAGATTTTTGGCCTACAAGGAACATGGTGTTCCAAAACAAGTGGCCAAGTACAAGATTATCTTTGTTCATCCCTTCTTTAGTTCCCGACATGATCCAATCATTGCAACAGCCGTCTCTCCGGTACTGCCTTGCTTGATTCTTTGTCATTTTTCAGTTCAACTCTTTATTGGTTGACTTCGTGGTGGGTGTGTTTTTTTCTTTCCTCAGGACGTTATTGAAGATTTAGGTGTGTACATTGTGTCTTTCGACAGACCAGGGTACGGTGAAAGTGATCCGGATCCTAAGCGGACAACGAAGAGCTTGGCGTTAGATATAGAGGAGCTTGGTGATCAGCTGGAACTCGGATCCAAATTTTATGTGATTGGATACTCAATGGGAGGACAGGTCATCTGGAAGTGTCTTCGGTACATCCCTCATAGGTAAGATTTTGCAAGCAGCCTCGTTACCTGATGATGCATCGTTCGGTACGGAAAATTTTCTCTAAAGTTCGATGTGTTTGGGATGCCTGTTACGACAGGCTAGCTGGAGCAGCACTGATCGCTCCGGCGATCAACTACTGGTGGCCAGGACTTCCTGCCAACCTGTCATCTTATGCCTATAAGAAGCAAGCTCCACAGGATCAATGGGCGCTTCGAGCTGCCCACTATATACCTTGGTTAACCTACTGGTGGAACACTCAGAATTTCTTTCCTAAACACCGCGTTTTATCCGGGAAAGTAGAGAATATGTTGTCCCGCCAAGATTGGGAAAATATTAGGAATGCAAAGGTTTCTGGAAGAGAAAAGCACAAGGTACTTTCCTTATTCGATCGCTAATTGTCTAGGATTTTATAGAAACTCGGCAGCGTTGATAATTTTTGTCTTGTTTTGTTATTTGTTTGGGCAGGAACATGCCACGCAGCAAGGAGAAGCTGAGTCCATCTTTCGCGACGTTATAGTTGGATATGGGAGCTGGGAATTTGATCCTACGGATCTGAAGAACCCTTTTGTCAACAACGAAGGCTCGGTCCATCTATGGCAGGGTGACGATGATAAGTTTGTCTCAGTTGAGGTGCAACGCTATATTGCCGAAAAGCTTCCATGGATTCACTACCATGAGTTACCAGGTGGTGGACATTTGTTGCCAGCTGCAGATGGTATGAGTGAAATCATTTTAAAGGCACTTCTAATTAAAGAGTAGACCATTGACGTCGTCGATACAGGGCAGCTACAGAGATGGTACATTATATACAAATTATGTTCGAAGAGAAATATTTGTAATGTTACAATTCAAATAGGGGAAATAATGAGAGTCGATTCGAAATTAGTTGTATGATGTTCCATATCTCAGGCCATTTTTATGGTTACATCCAGAGAACTCGTACCTGGAAGGTGAACGAACTGCAAAGTTGGAACTACACAAATGACAGATGCAATGCAATTCGTGCAAATGTAACACTCGAAAGGTAAAGCATCTCTTTAGAAACACGATAATTGAAACTGCAGGGACTAGGTGTTGGATTTCCATGCATGTAATACCTGCATGTGGTCCAATATATCCTAGTAGATAGGGTGTTGGATTTCCACTCCTCCCTCCCTCAAATTATTGAAATAGTTTTGAACCTCCCCCTTCCGTTAATAATAATTTAAAAAATAAACTACAGAGACCAAAATCAAACTTTGTACATGCCAGCGCCACTCTGTTAGTTCTTCTACTGATCACCATTTTCCGGCCTGTAATAACTGCTAGCTATCATTTTTAGTGAAATCTATCAATCTTCCATTTCTAATTCCTGCTAGAAGTGAAAGATGCAATGCCGTACTTTCGAATAAACAAAAGAAAATTTATTCATTATTGTGTCAAAGACAATGAGTAGAAAGACCATAATTGGAATAAGGAGCAAAAAATAAGTTACAAATGCATGAAACAAGCAACAGAAACTGTCAAACTGCGAGCAACTCGGATAAGCATTTCAAGCCAATTCTTCGGTTCAGCCTAAAAGCATTATCCGTACAGCCATTTGAATAGGCCTGAGAAGGAATAGGGTGTTGTGAAACAAAAGAGTTCCGAGCTTACTTCGGCAATCTAGTTTCAGGGTTGAGAAGAAGTATCTAATTTCAAACGAAGAGGAACATAGAGAATACCGCCATGATTCTCCTGTTCTTGGACCTGGTTCCAACGAAGAAGAAAAACCTTCTCTCTACATTTCCCACATGACCAACTCCCCATTGTGAAGAAAAACGTTCTTTTTCCATTTACCCCGTGACCAACTTCCCTTTATTTTATTTTATTTTATTTTTAAATTGTTCTCTAATCAGGTTGTGCCACCAATCATTTTAATGAATAAACTAATAAAGGGATGGTGGATTACTAAATTAATATTTTTTATAACACGTGTTTCATACCGTTATTTCTTTTAAAATTAACTATACATATGACATTTGAAAAATATTTTGTAATCACTTAAACTTTCATCTCATACCGTCTAATTCACTAAATTACTAAAGCAAAAATTCCGATGTTTTTGTATGTTATATGTCAAATAATAAACCTATTTAAAATAATAAACTCAAATCCTAAACATAAGTATAGTTTTTTAAAGTGTAAATAGACACTTATTATATGATATATAAAAAATTTATTTAAATCTGCCTAGTTCACCTAGACCCCCGTCTAGGAGCATAGGCGCGATGTCACATCCCACATCGCCCATGGGAGTGATCCTTATATGTATATTCTCATCTCTACCTAGCACGAGGCCTTTTGGGAGCTCAATGGCTTCGGGTTCCGTAGGAACTCCGAAGTTAAGCGAGAAGGGGGGCTAGAGCAATCCCATGATGGGTGACCCACTAGGAAGTTGCTCGTGAGTTCTCAAAAACAAAACTGTGAGGGAATCGTAAGCCCAAAGCGGACAATATCTTGCTACGGTGGTGGAGCGGGCCCGGGAAATGATCCGCCCCGGGTCAGGATGTGACAATTTGGTATCAGAGCCTAATCCTGGTCGCGTGTGTGCCGACGAGGACGTCGGGCCCCTAAGGGGGGTGGATTGTAACATCCCACATCGCCCAAGTGAGTGATCCTTATATGTATATTCTCATCTCTACCAAGCACGAGGCTTTTTCGGAGCTCACTGGCTTCAGGTTCCGTAGCAACTCCGAAGTTAAGCGAGAAGGGGGGCTAGAGCAATCCCATGATGGGTGACCCACTGGGAAGTTGCTCGTGAGTTCCCAAAAACAAAACTGTGAGGGAATGATAAGCCCAAAGCGGACAATATCGTGCTACGGTGGTGGAGTGGGCCCGGGAAGTGATCCGCCCCGGGTCGGGATGTGACACGCGAGGCCCCAACCCGCCACCTGAGTAGCGCCTATCCTAGCGTGCCTTGATTAGGACCACACGATGGTAGAATTCTGGATCCGCCACTTGTTATATTAAAAAGTCTCTTGAAGATGCTCTAACACTATAAACATCTCTATAAAAAGCTCAAAATTTTTATTAACTAGCAAGTCAAAAGTGCCAAAAAACTATTTTAGCCATGTAGTTTAACTTTCCATCTCTAATAACACTCTTTATTTTAACAAACTTTGAATATTTTGTTATTAACAATTCAACCCCAACTCATTTATTTTTATTTTGAGGATTTTGTACAAGTACCACCTGAACTTGCAAGCCATGTGCGCTAATACCACATGAACTTTCATTTTTATTAGGCAAATTTTTAGCGGACTTGGAGTTAGGTCATGAAAAGAAAAGAAGAAGTTGATTTCTGATTTGATTTTGGCAAGGACTATTGAAGAATTGAAGTGAAATTGTACAAAATCTAGTCTTTCATTTACAATGTATTTTCACTATTTTTTTTTAAATCAGCAAGTGGGTGTGTGATTAATCTTAATTTATACAAATATTAATTTTTCTAACTTTTATAAAGGGAATTGCCAAACTGGAGTTGTACAAACCCGCAATTTTAGCGCAATATTAACTCAGACACTATTATTTTGGGGCTTATTGATTCTAACTAGCCCCATGAAGTTAATTGATGAAAAAAATCTCTTCAGGTGACATGTTTTAACAACAATATAGATGAAAAGTAACATAGGTGGTATATTCCAACACTTAAGAGGGTCTAGGTGGTAATAAATAAAAATTGACAGTTTAGGTATTATTATCACACATGCTTACAAGTTCAAGTGGTACTTGTGTAAAAAACCATTTCTACAACAATCTTCTCTTTCTTTCATTTGTCGTTGCTCAAGGGTCAACTTTTTTTTTTTAAATATTTAGCTAATGGACAGTTACTCTATAAATTTGAAAAGTGACTATTCCTTATGTTATAATAGAGACTCTTTTATATAGTAGGTTAGAGATATGTGTGGAGCAAAAAATAATTCTAAAAATCCTGAAAATGACACGTGGATTTAAAAAAAAAAAAAAAACACACACACACACACACAAGAAAGCCCTCATTAAATGGGTAGGCCCCACAAATATTCACACGCGCAATTCAATATCCCTAGAGGCTTGAGCTGTTCACTCCAACATCACCAAGTTTCTTGTCGTAACATGGAAAAGTTAAATACATTTATGATAGGATTAGTCACCAAATTCCATCATTAATACATTCCTGATTGAAAATCAACTCAAACAAGTAAGGAATTCTCATCACCAGCAATCAAGGATACTTGATAATCCTAAGATACTATCTCATAGTTAATATCTTCGGGATAATTTTTTCCTTATCCATCCTATGGATATCACACCGTGGCTAATAAGAAATCGTCATGTGTAAGGAAAAACCCTAACCTTATGGCTACCCCACCTTCCTATAAATACTTCATCTACACCATTTTCTGGTAAGCTTTTGCTACGCACTTAAGCTCTAAAAACTCACTTTTTTCAGATTAGGCATCTGATATCTATTGGCTAAACCCCCACCTCGTGGGCACGTGTATGGCTTTAACCTTGATCATGGCTTTGACCTTGATCAAATTCGTCAAGACTAAAGACAACTTTTTTGCTACAACAATATTATTTTTAAATTTGACTCCTTAAAATAAATTTTTTGTTGTTTCATAACATGTTTAGAGATGTTTTAGGATGCGTTTGTTGCACCGGACTATCTCGGACTGGACTAACTTCAGGGACTAAGTTGGATTGATTTAGTGAAGCGTTTGGTGCAATTTCGGACTAAAAACCAGGATAATGAAAAATAGTGAAATTACAAATTTTAACGATAGAATTACATCCAACTCAACTGCAAAATACCCACAGTCAAATCAAATGATAATTACATTAAACTCAACGGCAATTGCTTGGAAACGAAAGAAAATATTGAGATTTTGTGCATTGTAGCATTGCAATTTGCAAAAACAAACAGCGCTTTCCTACAACATTAGGAATTCAGAATCAGTACATCAAACTTTCTCACTTTTTGGTCTAAAATCCCCCTAAGCCTCTAAAATTGAGAAATTTGTAAACATTCAGCAACCCAAATGTCCCAAAATTGTTAGAAACTCTAACTTATCATACCACAAATTTGGAGGAAGAAAATTTTGATTTCTTCTTCACAGCCTCCCAAAATCCATGAATAATACCATATTCATTCATCCCAATTTTAACATACAATTGTAACATCACTATGCACTTTGAGCGTAGCTTTCCATACAAAACAATTGAATTTTACAACTCCTGTTTAACGATTTCGTCCAAAGAATAACTTACAACAATTGAATCAAACAACGGCTACGTTACAACATGAACGATACATTCATGGCACAACCAACACAACAATTACCCCAAAGAAGCAACTCCAAGAATTGTGCTTCTTTGTACACTTACTGAGGATGTTGATTGAAACATCACCCATGCTACTGCTTTTCTCTAACTTGGTGTATTAGTATAGTCCGCAGACTCTGCACTTCATTCTGGTGCATTTCCTCATCAACGGCAACAAAACATCAACCCAAAACAAAAGCTAATAAAGGTGCATACCTTCCATTTCTTCGTTGTGGTTCGGCAGGAAGTGTATCCTTCACACAAGTCTTTGTGTCAACTAATATTGGGTTTTGGTTGGTTTCCATAACAGGCATTTTAATCTCATCAATTACGCCCACCATCCATACCCCTTCTGCAAAACCTATTCTGATATCAATGCTCCGATATCATCAATTCTATCAGAGAAAAACAGAGAATTGGATGTAAGAATAAAGCAAAAGAAAGAGTGTGCCTATCTGATATACTGATATATAAAGGTAGGATGTTTTTCTAAGACTTTCTCAATCATGTTTCATTTTCGTTACTGATGGTTGAGGTATCCAGAGCATTGTCTCATTAGGTCCCAAAAACTACATTGGATCACCATCAGCAACCAATTGTGCTTAATTCATATTATTTCAATCAAATACATGACAAGCTTCAGTTAAAGGGCACCATAATCTTACAATCCAAGATTCATACTTACATCCAACCCATACAAAATTGCCAAACAAAGGAACAGAGCTGCAAGCTTAATCCAGACATCACTCTTTACAGATGATATTGATAACCAATTAACTACTTTATGCAACAATAATGATCCATATGATCCATTTATTAATTGATTATAATGCTAAATAAGCCCAAGAACGCCCTTATCTAACTCATTATGACAAAATTCCCCCCAAAGATAAATTAGTAAATAGAAAGATAAACCTTGGACCTCGCATAGATTAACAGATACAATATCAAGTAGCTCCATGCAGGAGGTTAAAAGCCACCTAAACAATGTATCAGGAGTCAAAGATTGAATCAGGAGAGACAGATGAATTAACTTACAGTGGCAGCAAATGGAATTTGCAATTTCACAGAAGCGGAAATCAAATCCGTACAACCACATCATAAAATACCCAGAAGCAGAAATCATTGAAGAACAAGCAATTTCACAGCAAGACCAACCCAGATTTCAAAGGATCAAAGCAATCTAGATTTCACATAATCAAAACAACAAATGGAATTTGTAAATGATGAGTGAGAGAGAGAGACTGACGATTTCTTGGCCTGCTCGAGCGAGCAAGCGTGGCCGATGTAGTTAGTCCAGCAATCAGGATGAGATCGATCAGGATGATCAAGACGAGCATGGCAAGTAAGGCAAGTCGGACGAACAGGACAAACACGAAGAGGCGAGCGAGTAGGAGGACAATGACAATCTTAGCTAGTCCGCTCATATTTGAGGGGTCTCGCTAGGACCACGTAACGAAGGAGTTAGTGAAAGCGAGTCCCACTTAATACCATTAAACTTAGACCTGGTAGCCAATAAACAGAGGATTACACTAAAAATTAGTCCAATCCAGTCCAGTCCAGGGAAGCCAAACAACGTGCCCTTAATGGCAGTGCATTAACCAATACCACATTTGTGATGACTGATGACCCATAAAAATCCCAATACAGAAAAAGATAAAAAGATGAAAAGGAAAGCTGGGAAAGTAGGCCAAAATCATCGGTGGATGGATTTTTCTGTGTGGCTAGTTGTGATAGGTGGAACGCGATACCAAACACCACAATGAATTAAAAATGTCTAACAAAATTATATCCCTTCTGATTTCTCATCATTGTGATGGACGAATTTTCTTCATAACTTCTCTATCTTCTTCGTTTGTCAATACGAAAACAAGCAGCCCACCGACACCGGCAGCTTCAGCACCACACAAAAGCTAAAAGCAACTGCTCACTCAGCCCGTTTCTGCCATTTTCTTCTGCATAAACATATAATTATCACAGAGGGAGGAGCGTTGGTGGTAAGTTTTTACCAAAAAAGCACATTAGGAAGTATGATTTTTTATGTGCATATGATCTCTTTTCTTGTGGTTTCGGTTAAACAAAGGAGTGCATCTTTTTATTTCCAACTTATTTATTGATTGTGGTCGCTATAGAAACAATTAGTATAACCAAGTAAGTTGGTTAGAACACCGCGTTCTCTTAAATATTGGAATCCGTCTCTTGTTGTTTAGATATTAGAATATCATATTAGAATATCTGTTTTTTTTTTTGAGATGCTCTAATGGTATGTTGTAACCAAAATTTTATAGAAATGATAAAGGAACTCTCTCAAGAGTAAGACTTTCAATGGGCTCTCTATACTTCATGTTTTTTACATAATATTTTATAACGTTCGCATGATAATTGATGTTAAACTGTAAAATGTCAAACAATTGATAAAAAAATTCACTTTGAAGAGAATTTCATTAGCATTTATCTACTCTTATTAGGACAACTAACAACCCCCACATGTATCCTTGTCTATTATGTCGTCTATTATGTCGTGTTGTTGAGCATACTCCAACTTTTGGATTGGACTAACCAGCAACCACCCCTGCCTCTGCCTGCCTGTTCAGTGCTGACTCATAAAAATCCCAACCCAATAGAGAAAAAGAATTAAAAGTGAAGAGGAAGGCTGCCGACTTATAATATGCCATTAATTAAAATTGACATATTTCTTGATTTGCCTCCGAACTATTATGCAATTGTTAAATTTTTTTTTTGAAATTTAATTTTAACTGATTATTATTTTAAACTATTATAAATAACCAATTTTTCCTTGTTAGATTTTAAATTTTTTTTCTTTATTTTAATCACGCAAACAACACATGACAATTATATGAAGGCCAAAAGGTAATTTTATTTTGGTAAATTGGGTGCAAAGCTAATACTTTGCAGCTACTAATTCGATTAGAGAGTGAACCGTGTCGAGAAGGTGGAGAAGGAAAAAACAAAAAGCAATTTGATGTCCACATCAAGAATAAAATTATTTTATTGCCCACAAACATTTGTTGTGACCAAAATAGAAGAAAATTTCCAAAATCTAACATTAAGGGAAAATTTGGTTAATTATAACAATTCAGACGAGTAATCGATTAAAATTAAAGTTTATACATAAATTTAGCAACTTTTTACAAGTTCAGAACGAAGGAGATCGACCAATATCTCATTAAAATTATCAACAAAACTTATTCCTCCTAATCTTTACAAAAGTTTAAGATTAAGATGACAATTTTTCTTCGCGTCACCATCTACGTTCGTCACTTTGACAAAATATGCAATCTGACTTTCATATTTCTATTTTTTTTTTTTTTAAATCCAGCAGATTGTCCAAGTCAAGCCAGTTCTAGAAAAGAAACGAGCCCTGAAATAGGTGAAGGTGGGTTCCTTCACGTAATTTAACAACCACACAAAAGCTATAAGCAGCTGCTCACTTAGCTTGGTTTCTGCCATTTTCTTCTGCATAAACTTATTATTATCACAGAGGGAGGAGCGCTGGTGGTAAGTTTTTACCAAAAAACCACATTAGCAAGTATGATTTTTTATGATTTCTTTTCTTGTGGTTTTGGTTAAACAATGGAGTGCATCTTTTAATTTGCAACTTATTTATTGATTGTGTGCATTTACAGGAGCAATTAGTATAATCAAATTAGCTAGAACACTGTGTCTCTCGTATATATTAAAATCCGCATCTTATAGTTTTGATATTGTAATATCGTTTTTGATAAAAGTAAAGTGCGTGTGTATTTGTTTTCTTTATACTTGATTGTCCATTTTTCTGGTTGTTGTTTGATTTAAATGACCTTTCATCAATTGAGGGGAAGTAGCAAATTAAAAAACTCGAGAAAACTTGCTGTAAGTCTAATTTTTCAAACTATTATTAAGAATAGTTTACTTGTTGAAATAAATTCAGTGAAAAGGAATTAAATCTCTTCCTGACTTACTTCTCACGGCTCGTTTTATCTTCATAAATTCTTTTCGGGTGCATTTTTGCTCACAAATCATCATTATCAAGTGATGATAACACTCACAACTCTATTTACCATCGTTTAATGAATTCAAATTTTGAAATCTGTATCTATTTACTACACATATCTAAAATTTAAACTAATTTTACGATAATAAATAGAGTAGTGAGAATAATTTGCATTTCTTTTTTTCTTTTTTTGGTTCTTCTTTCTCATTTTTGTATGGCATCTGCTACTGCTTTGTTCTTAAATGTAGAAATGAATTCCCCTTATTGAATCTCGTTTGGTCAATTCTGATTAAAGCACTCCAACCAACCCAACAAATATGAGACAGGTGGCACCAAAGAACCATGGAAGCATTCTCCTCTTTTATTTCTTGTTTTCTTTTTAATCAACTCATTTTATTGTATCTTTGTGTTTTTGTTCCTCACGTTTCAAACTTCAAACATCTTCAATCTTTCTTTTCTCTCACAAACCATCATCTCCTTTCTCAAAATGTATCATAATGTTTTTATGCCTACGAAAAAAGGTGTATATTTAGTTTTAAATATATGATCATTTGATTACTTACCACGTAAATCGATTTTCTATTTTAAATATTTAGGAATTGTATTATCTAATTAAAGAATTTAAATATTTTTATCCAAAAGGGCAAAATTAGTATAAAAACATTTAATTAGATTACTGAACTCACTCCTGAAAACAGCTTTTTTTTTTACCTAAATCTAAAAGCACTTTAAAACTTATTATACAATGATGTCCTCAAGTGTAATGTTATTTTTCTATTTGCTTCTTTACCGCAAGTGAGCAAAGTTTCGTACTTTCCATCTTCTCATAACATGTTTAAGAGGATCACATTCATCTTGTTGGTTGGATTGCTGGCGTGGGCATATCAGGCCGCCCAACCACCACCTCCGAACATCTGTGGTTCGCCTGGCGGTCCACCCGTCACAGCGCCTAGAATAAGGCTAAGGGATGGAAGATTTTTGGCCTACAAGGAACATGGTGTTCCAAAACAAGTGGCCAAGTACAAGATTATCTTTGTTCATCCCTTCTTTAGTTCCCGACATGATCCAATCATTGCAACAGCCGTCTCTCCGGTACTGCCTTGCTTGATTCTTTGTCATTTTTCAGTTCAACTCTATATTGGTTGACTTCGTGGTGGGTGTTTTTTTTCTTTCCTTAGGACGTTATTGAAGATTTAGGTGTGTACATTGTGTCTTTCGACAGACCAGGGTACGGTGAAAGTGATCCGGATCCTAAGCGGACAACGAAGAGCTTGGCGTCAGATATAGAGGAGCTTGGTGATCAGCTGGAACTCGGATCCAAATTTTATGTGATTGGATACTCACTGGGAGGACAGGTCATCTGGAAGTGTCTTCGGTACATCCCTCATAGGTAAGATTTTGCAAGCAGCCTCGTTACCTGATGATGCGTCCTTCGGTACTGAAATTTTTCTCTAAAGTTCGATGTGTTTGGGATGCCTGTTACGACAGGCTAGCTGGAGCAGCACTGATCTCTCCGGTGATCAACTACTGGTGGTCAGGACTTCCTGCCAACCTGTCATCTTATGCCTATAAGAAGCAAGCTCCACAGGATCAATGGGCGCTTCGAGCTGCCCACTATATACCTTGGTTAACCTACTGGTGGAACACTCAGAATTTCTTTCCTAAGCACCGCGCTTTATCCGGGAAAGTAGAGAATATGTTTTCCCGCCAAGATTGGGAAAACGTTAGGAATGCAAAGGTTTCTGGAAGAGCAAAGCACAAGGTACTTTCCTTATTCGATCGCTAATTGTTTAGGATTTTATAGAAACTCGGCAGCGTTGATGATTTTTGTCTTGTTTTGTTATTTGTTTGGGCAGGAACATGCCACGCAGCAAGGAGAAGCTGAGTCCATCTTTCGCGACATGGTAGTTGGATTTGGGAGCTGGGAATTTGATCCTATGGATCTGCAGAACCCTTTTGCCAGCAACGAAGGCTCGGTCCATCTGTGGCAGGGTGACGAAGATAAGCTTGTCCCAGTTGAGCTGCAACGCTATATTGCCGAAAAGCTTCCATGGATTCACTACCATGAGTTACCAGGTGGTGGACATTTGTTGCCAGCTGCAGATGATATGAGTGAAATCATTTTAAAGGCACTTCTAATTAAAGAGTAGACCATTGATGTCGTCGATACCGGGCAGCTCCAGAGATGCTACATTATATACAAATTATGTTCCAAGAGAAATATTTGTAACGTTACAATTCAAATAGGGGAAATAATGAGAGTCGATTCGAAATTAGTTGTATGATGTTCCATATCTCAGGCCATTTTTATGGTTACATCCAGTGAACTCGTACCTGGATGGTGAACGAACAGCAAAGTTGGAACTACACAAATGACAGATGCAATGCAATTCGTGCAAATGTAACACTCGAAAGGTAAAGCATCTCTTTAGAAACGCGATAATTGAAACTGCAGGGACAAGGTGTTGGATTTCCACCCATGTAATACCTGCATGTGGTCCAATATATCCTAGTAGATAGGGTGTTGGATTTCCACTCCTCCCTCCCTCAAATTATTGTAATAGTTTTGAACCTCCCCCTCCCGTTAATAATAATTTAAAAAATAAACTACAGAGACCAAAATCAAACTTTGTACATGCCAGCGCCACTCTGTTAGTTCTTCTACTGATCACCATTTTCCGGCCTCTACTAACTGCTAGCTATCATTTTTAGTGAAATCTATCAATCTTCCATTTCTAATTCCTGCTAGAAGTGAAAGATGCAATGCCGTACTTTCGAATAAACAAAAGAAAATTTATTCATTATTGTGTCAAAGACAATGAGTAGAAAGACCATAATTGGAATAAAGAGCAAAAAATAAGTTACAAATGCATGAAACAAGCAACAGAAACTGTCAAACTGCGAGCAACTCGGATAAGCATTTCAAGCCAATTCTTCGGTTCAGCCTAAAAGCATTATCCATACAGCCATTTGAATAGGACTGAGGGTGTTGTGAAACAAAAGAGTTCCGAGCTTACTTCGGCAATCTAGTTTCACGGTAGAGAAGAAGTATCTAATTTCAAACGAAGAGGAACATAGAGAATACCGCCATGATTCTTTTGTTCTTGGACTTGGTTCCAACGAAGAAGAAAAACCTTCTCTCTACACTTCCCACGTGACCAACTCCCCATTTTGAAGAAAAACGTTCTTTTTCCATTTACCCCGTGACCAACTTCCTTTTTTTTTTCTTTCTTTTTTTTTAAAAAAAAATTGTTCTCTAATTAGGCTGTGCCACCTATCATTTTAATGAATAAAATAATAAAGGGACGGTGGATTACTAAATTAATATTTTTTTATAACACGTGTTTGATACGGTTATTTCTTTTAAAATTAACTATAGATATGACATTTGAAAAATATTTTGTAAAATACTGCATCTCATAATCACTTAAACTTTCATCTCATACCATCTAATTCATTAAATTACTAAAGCAAAAATTCCGATATTTTTGTATGTTATATGTCAAATAATAAACCTATCTAAAATAATAAACTCAAATCCTAAACATAAGTATAGTTTTTTAAAGTGTAAATTGACTATAAGATATATAAAAAAATTATTTAAATCTACCTAGTTCACCTAGACCCCCGTCTAGGCGCATAGGCGCGAGGCCCCAACCTGCCACCTGAGTCGCGCCTATCCTAGCATGCCTTGATTAGGACCACCCGATAGTAGAATTCTGGATCCGCCACTAGTTATATTAAAAAGTCTCTTGAAGATGCTCTAACACTATAAACATCTCTATAAAAAAACTCTAAATTTTTATTAACTAGCAAGTCAAAAGTGCCAAAAAACTATTTTAGCTATTTAGTTTAACTTTCCATCTCTAACAACACTCTTTATTTTAACAAACTTTGAATATTTTGTTATTAACAATTCAATGCCAACTCATTTATTTTTATTTTGAGGATTTTGTACAAATACCACCTGAACTTGCAAGCATGTGCGCCAATATCACATACTTTCATTTTTATTAGGCAAATTTTTAGCGGACTTGGAGTTAGGTCATGAAGAGAAAAGAAGAAGTTGATTTCTGATTTGATTTTGGCAAGGACTGTTGAAGAATTGAAGTGAAATTGTACAAAATCTAGTCTTTCATTTACAATGTATTTTCACTATTTTTTTTAAATCAGCAAGTGGGTGTGTGATTTATCTTAATTTATACAAATATTAATTTTTCTAACTTTTATAAAGGGAATTGCCAAACTGTAGTTGTACAAACCCGCAATTTTAGCGCAATATTAACTTAGACACTATTATTTTGGAGCTTATTAATTCTAACTAGCCCCCATAAAGTTAATTGATGAAAAAATCTCTTCAGGTGACATGTTTTAACAGCAATATAGATGAAAAGTAACATACGTGGTATATTCCAACACTTAAGAGGGTCCAGGTGGTAACAAATAAAAATTGACAGTTTAGGTATTATTATCGCACATGCTTACAAGTTCAAGTGTTACTTGTGTAAAAAACCATTTCTACAACATCTCTTTCTTTCTTTTTTCGTTGCTCAAGGGTCAACTCTCTTTTTTAAAAATATTTAGCTGATGGACAGTTACTCTATAAATTTGAAAAGTGACTATTCTTTATGTTATAATAGAGACTCTTTTATGTAATTGGTTAGAGATATGTGTGGAGCAAAAAATAATTCTAAAAATCCTGAAAATGACACGTGGATTTCAAAAAAAAAAAACGCACACACACCAGAAAGCCCTCATTAAATGGGTAGGGCCTACAAATATTCACACGCGCAATTCAATATCCCTAGAGGCTTAAGCTATTGACTACAACATCACCAAGTTTCTTGTCGTAACATGGAAAAGTTAAATACATTAATGATAGGATTAGTCACCAAATTCCATCATTAATACATTTCTGATTGAAAATCAACTCAAACATGTAAGGAATTCTCATCACCAGCAATCAAGGATACTTGATAATCCCAAGATACTATCTCATTTAATATCTTCGGGATAATTCTTTCCTTATCCATCCTATGGATATCACACCGTGGCCAATGAGAAATCGTCATATGTAAGGAAAAACCCTAACCTTATGGCTACCCACCTTCCTATAAATACTTCATCTACACCATTTTTTGGTAAGCTTTTGCTACGCACTTAAGCTCTAAAAATTCACTTTTTTAGATTAGGCATCTGAGATCTATTGGTTAAACCCCCACCTCGTGGGCACGTGTATGGCTTTAACCTTGATCATGGCTTTGACCTTGATCAAATTCATCAAGACTAAAGACAGCTTTTTGCTACAACAATAGTATTTTTAAATTTGACTCCTTAAAATAAATTTTTTGTTGTTTCATGATGCGAGAATTATACGCACACAAATTAAACCCTCTTTTTGTCAATTGTAGTAAGTATGTAAGTAGGGATCGTTCTGGACCGGGGGTTAGGAGGGATTGTTAACCACTTGGATTTGTTTCAAAAACGTAAAAACAAGTTTAAAACACTATACTAGACTCAAAGAATGCAAAACTCAGAATAAGATAGATTAAGACCAAGACTAAACAAAATATGGGGGGGATTGAGGTTTGGACGAATTTAAACTAAAATGGATAGATTGTAAAGAAAACAAATTGTAAATACGAATTTGACGGAAATGAATGGATGGGAAGCTAGCTAAGGGGTTCATCTCCACACATGTTATACTTGCATACAAAATGATTTCTAATTGCTTTTCAATAAACCATGAATTCTCAACACCCCAGGTTAATTAGGTCCGTTTAAATTAACCGTCAAGTTTTCCTTAAGTTAATGAATTGGATGATTGCATACGACAACCCAAAGCATTCCCCACAAGTTCCCTACATGAATTGCATAATAGAGATACAAGCAAGAATCATTAAGTTCTTTGAAAACCATAAGTGTTGACGAGGCATTCGTTACTATGATTGCATGAAACTTATGCCAAGAATTTACTTAACGCGATTGTTTATAAGCAACCTCCACTACTTGTGAATATAAGTTCATAACTATTTGGTGAAACTCACTTATATTCTAGCGTCATATTCATGCATGAAAATTAAGCGTGCACTCTCAATAAACATACATAAATAGGTTATCAATCAAATAGTTAAACAAATTGAATCCACAACTTATGAAACGCAATTAGAAGTAATCAAATCATATCGCAAGCATAAACATGTATTTCGAATCCCCCCTAGCCAATGGGGGGTTTAGTTCCTCATACGTACAAGACAAAGAGAATTGAAATTAAACATTGAAATCGAGGAAAAGCAACACCTAAAAATTCCAACAACTCAAACTTGAATTGTATGAACGTTTAGGCACTCTTCTCCTCCTCTTCGTTGTGGCACAAGGTCTAAGGATAGGTTGATGGTTGGATAGTGTTTTGGAGGGATGGGGAGTGGTGGAAATGGAAGGGGGATGCTGGAAAATGGAAAGGGGACTCACGGCTAGGGAAGGGAGAATGCTGTTTTTGTGTTGTGTTGTGGTCTCCTATTGTGTATGAATGCATGGGTTTTTATAGGGGGAATGGGAGAATATGTGGATGATTGTTTAAGAGTGAATGTGGCTGTTATGATTGAGAGTGCATGTGGCTGAAATAATGATGGAAAAACAGCTAGGAAAAGAGGGAATGCATGTGGAAGTGTGGCTGCAAAGAGAAGGAAAGCTGGAAATGCAATGTGAAGTCACGGCTAGGATGTGTTTGGGGTTGGAAATGCATGTGTTTGCATGTGAATGTTGTTTGTGTGAAGTGTGTGTGAATGCATGTGGATTAAAGAGTGAATGGTGGCTGCAATGATGAATACATGTGGCTGAAATGAAAGGGAAATGCAAAGGGAAAAGCTAGAAATTGGAGTGAAGAGCACGGCAATGGGATTCTTTGTGCTAGAAATGCATGTGTTTGCATGTGAATTGAAGCTAGGGTGAATGATGATGAATGCATGTGGATTAAAAGAGGGAGAATGCGGTGCAATGATGAAGTGGGAAGGTGGAATTTCAAAGGGGGAATGCTGAAAATGGGATAGGAGTGCACGGCAATGGTTGTTTGGTGTTGGTTGCATGTGTTGGCTGATTTTTGCATGGCTTTGATGGATTGTTTGATTGGGCTAGAGGTTTTGCATGGCTCAAAGGATTGTTTGATTGGGTTAGGCCCTTTGTTTTATGTCCTAAGTGCATACAAGGCCTTCAATTTCGTCCAATCCTTTTGCTCCAAGCATATGCTATCCATTCCAAGCCCAATTTTGCTCCAAAATGCTCCAAAATGCATCTTTTTGCTTCCTTAGCCATATGAACCTAAAAACACACGAAAATGGCTTAAACTACTAAAACAACTATGAATTAACAACATAGATGCACGAAAACAAGCTAAGTAAGTCGCCTAAATATGCTCCTATCATTTCACAACATGTTTAGAGATGCTTTAGGGTGCGTTTGTTGCACCGGACTATCTCAGATTGGACTAGCTTCAGGGACTAAGCTGGACTGATTTAGTGAAGCGTTTGGTACAATGTCGGACTAAAAACCAGGATAATGAAAAATAGTGAAATTACAAATTTTAACGATAGAATTACATCCAACTCAACTGCAAAATACCCACAGTCAAATCAAATGATAATTACATTAAACTCAACGGCAATTGCTTGGAAACGAAAGAAAATATTGAGATTTTGTGCATTGTAGCATTGCAATTTGCAAAAACAAACAGCGCTTTCCTACAACATAGGAATTCGGAATCAGTACATCAAACTTTCTCACTTTTTGGTCTAAAATCCCCCTAAGCCTCTAAAATTGAGAAATCTATAAACATTCAGCAACCCAAATGTCCCAAAATTGTTAAAAACTCTAATTTATCATACCACAAATTTGGAGGAAGAAAATTTCGATTTCTTCTTCACAGCCTCCCAAAATCCATGAATAATACCATATTCATTCATCCTAATTTTAACATACAATTGTAACATCACTATATGACTTTGCTAAATTTGATAGAGAGACATCCTTTGCACTTTGAGCGTAGCTTTCCATGCAAAACAATTGAATTTTACAACTCCTGTTTAACGATTTCGTCCAAAAAATAACTTAGAACAATTGAATCAAACAACGGCTACGATACAACATGAACGATACATTCATGGCACAACCAACACAGCAATTACCCCAAAGAAGTAACTCCAAGAATTGTGCTTCTTTGTACACTTACTGAGGATGTTGATTGAAACATCACCAATGCTACTGCTTTTCTCTAACTTGGTGTATTAGTATAGTCCGCAGACTCTGCACTTCATTCTGGTGCATTTCCTCATCAACAGCAACAAAACATCAACCCAAAACAGAAGCTAATAAAGGTGCATACCTTCCATTTCTTCGTTGTGGTTCGGCAAGAAGTGTATCTTTCACACAAGTCTTTGTGTCAACTAATATTGGGTTTTGGTTGGTTTCCGTAACAGGCATTTTAATCTCATCAATCACGCCCACCATCCATACCCCTTCTGCAAAACCTATTCTGATATCATAAGAAAGTATAGCCAATCATTAAAGGAAAGGAGGTTAAGGAGATCAATGCTCCGATATCATCAATTCTATCAGAGAGAAACAGAGAATTGGCCGTAAGAATAAAGCAAAAGAAAAAGTGTGCCTATCTGATGTACCGATATATAAAGGTAGGATGTTTTTCTAAGACTTTCTCAATCATGTTTCATTTTTGGTACTGATGTTTGAGGTATCCAGAGCATTGTCTCATTAGGTCCCAAAAACTACATTGGATCACCATCAGCAACCAGTTGTGCTTAATTCATATTATTTCAATCAAATACATGACAAGCTTCAGTTAAAGGGCACCATAATCTTACAATCCAGGATTCATACTGACATCCAACCCATACAAAACTGCCAAACAAAGGAACAGAGCTGCAAGCTTAATCCAGACATCACTCCTTACAGATGATATTGATAACCAATTAACTACTTTATGCAACAATAATGATCCATATGATCCATTTATTAATTGATTATAATGCTAAATAAGCCCAAGAACGCCCTTATCTAACTCATTATGACAAAATTCCCCCCAAAGATAAATTAGTAAATAGAAAATAAACCTTGAACCTCGCATAGATTGACAAATACAATATCAAGTAGCTCCATGCAGGAGGTTAAAAGCCACCTAAACAATGTATCAGGAGTCGAAGACTGAATCAAGAGAGACAGATGAATTAACTTACAGTGTGGCAGCAAATGGAATTTGCAATTTCACAGTGCATAAATCAAATCCGTACAACCACATCATAAAATACCCAAAAGCAAAAATCATTGAAGAACAAGCAATTTCATAGCATAAGACCAACCCAGGTTTCACAAAATCAAAGCAATCTAGATTTCACATAATCAAAACAACAAATGGAATTTGTAAATAATGAGTGAGAGAGAGACTGACGATTTCTTGGCCTGCTCGAGCGAGCAAGCGTGGCCGATGTAGTTAGTCCAGCAATCAGGATGAGATCGATCAGGACGATCAAGACGAGCATGACAAGTAAGGCAAGCAGGACGAACTGGACGAACACGAAGAGGCGAGCGAGTAGGAGGACAATGACAATCTTAGCTAGTCCGCTCGTATTTGGGGGGTCTCGCTAGGACCACCTAACGAAGGAGTTAGTGAAAGCGAGTCCCACTTAATACCATTAAACTTAGTCCTGGTAGCCAACAAACAGAGGATTACACTAAAAAAGTCCAATCCAGTTCAGGTAAGTGAAGCCAAACAAACGTGCCCTTAATGGCAGTGCATTAACCAATACCACATTTGTGATGACTGATGACCCATAAAAATCCCAATACAGAAAAAGATAAAAAGGTGAAAAGGAAAGCTGGGAAAGTAGGCCAAAATCACCGGTGGATGGATTTTTCTGTGTGGCTAGTTGTGTTAGGTGGAACGCGATACCAAACACCACAATGAATTAAAAATGTCTAACAAAATTATATCCCTTCTGATTTCTCATCGTTGTGATGGACGAATTTTCTTCATAACTTCTCTATCTTCTTCGTTTGTCAATACGAAAACAAGCAGCCCACCGACACCGGCAGCTTCAGCACCACACAAAAGCTAAAAGCAGCTGCTCACTCAGCCCGTTTCTGCCATTTTCTTCAGCATAAACATATAATTATCACAGAGGGAGGAGCGTTGGTGGTCAGTTTTTACCAAAAAAGCACATTAGGAAGTACGATTTTTTATGTGCATATGATCTCTTTTCTTGTGGTTTCGGTTAAACAAAGGAGTGCATCTTTTTATTTCCAACTTATTTATTGATTGTGGTTGCTGTAGAAACAATTAATATAACCAAGTTGGTTAGAACACTGCGTTCTCTTAAATATTGGAATTCGTCTCTTGTTGTTTAGATATTAGAATATCATTTTCGATAAATGTAAAGTGTGTTTGTATTTGTATTGTTTATACGTTACACCCTTTTTTATGATGGTTGTTTGATTTAGATGACCTGTTTTTATTTGAGCTCTTAAAAAATTGAGTGATCCAATTGAGGGGAATATACCATTAGAACTTATTATATAATGTCCTCAAGCGTAATGTTATTTTTGAATTTGCTTCTTTACTGCAGTTGAGCAAAGTTTCGTACTTCATTCTCAAAGATGTTTAAGAGGATCACATTCATCTTGTTGGTTGTATTGCTGGCGTGGGAGTATCAGGCCGCCCGACCACCCCCTCCGAACATCTGTGGTTCGCCTGGCGGTCCACCCGTCACAGCGCCTAGAGTAAGGCTAAGGGATGGAAGATTTTTGGCCTACAAGGAACATGGTGTTCCAAAACAAGTGGCCAAGTATAAGATTATCTTTGTTCATCCCTTCGGTACTTCCCGACATGATCCAGTCATTGCAACATCTGTCTCTCCGGTACTACCTTGATTGGTTCTCTGTCATTCTTCAGTTCAACTCTATATTGGTTGATTTCGTGGTGGATGTTTTTTTTTTTTTTTTTTTTTTTTTCTCAGGAAGTTATTGAAGATTTAGGTGTGTACATAGTGTCTTTCGACAGACCAGGGTACGGTGAAAGTGATCCGGATCCTAAGCGAACAGCGAAGAGCTTGGCGTTAGATATAGAGGAGCTTGGTGATCAGCTGGAACTCGGATCCAAATTTTATGTAATTGGATACTCAATGGGAGGACAGGTCATGTGGAAGTGTCTCAAGTACATCCCTCATAGGTAAGACTTCACAACCAGCCTCCCTTGGTACCAGATGATGCATCGTTCGGTACTGAAATTTTTCTCTAGAGTTTGATATGTTTGGGATGCTTATTACAACAGGCTAGCAGGAGCAGCGTTAATCGCTCCTGTGATCAATTACTGGTGGCCAGGACTTCCTGCCAACTTGTCATCCTATGCCTATAAGAAGCAACCTCCACAGGATCAATGGGCGGTTCGAGTTGCTCACTATATACCTTGGTTAACCTACTGGTGGAACACTCAGAAATTCTTTCCTTCATCCAGCGTTGTATCCGGTAAACCAGAGAATATGTTTTCCCGCCAAGATTGGGAAATCATTAGGAATGGAAAGGTTTCTGGAAGCGAAAAGCACAAGGTACTTTTCTTATTCGATCGCTAAGTGTTTAAGACTTTTATCGAAACTCAGCAGCTTTGATGATTTTTGTTTTGTTTTGTTTTGTTGTTTGTTTGGGCAGGCACATGTCACGCAGCAAGGAGAAGCTGAGTCCATCTTTCGCGACATGATTGTTGGATTTGGGAGCTGGGAATTTGGTCCTACGGATCTGAAGAACCCTTTTGCCAGCAATGAACGCTCGGTCCATCTATGGCAGGGTGACGAAGATAAGCTTGTCCCAGTTGAGCTGCAACGCTATATTGCTGAAAAGCTTCCATGGATTCACTACCATGAGGTACCAGGTGGTGGACATTTGTTGCCAGCTGCAGATGGTATGAGTGAGGTCATCTTAAGGGCACTTCTAATTAGAGAGAAGTAGACCATTGGCGTCGTCGATGCAGAGGAGCTCTCTCAGAGATGCTACATTATATACAAATTATGTTGCAAGACAAATCTTTGTAATGTTACAGATTCAAATAGACGAAATAATTGGAAATTGTGATGTTCCAAATCTCAGGCCATTTTTGTGGTTACATTCAGCGAACTCACACCTAGAAGGTGAACGAACGGCTAAGTTGGAACTACATAAATGACAGATGCAATGCGGTTCCTGCAAATATAACACCTGGAAGGTAAAGCATCTCTTTAGAAACACGACAATTGAAACTACAGAATAGGGTGTTGGATTTCCACCCATGCGTCTTGGTTCGAAACTCCCTCCTCACCAAAATTATTGTAGAAGTTTCGATCACCATTTTCCAGCCTTTAGTAACCGCTAGCTATCATTTTCAGTGAACTCTATCAATCTTCCATCTCAAATTCCTATGAAAAGTGAAAGATGCAACGCCATACTTTTGAATGAACAAAAGATAAATTTATTCATTATTGTGTCAAAGACTCTGAGTACAAAGACCATAATTGGAATAAAGAGCAAAAAATAAGTTACAAACGCATGAAACAAGCAACAGAAACTGTCAAACTGCGAGCAACTCGGAAAATCATTTCAAGCCAAGTTCTCGGTTCAGCCTAAAAGCATTATCCATACAGCCATTTGAATAGACCTGAGAAGGAATAGCATTATGAAACAAACGAGAGAAACCTTCTGCGCTTACTTTGGCAATCCAGTTTCAGGGTTGAGAAGATGACTTTCATCTGACAGCACAACTGGACCTCTCCCAGGTCTTGTGCAAATAAAGTAACTGACATCTCCTCTGAATTTCTGGGACGGATCCTTGATTTCTGGAGGTGGGGGTAAAGTTTCAATATCCTCCGGGCTCTCAACCCCGGCATCTTTTAGAATGGACTTATCACCTAGTACAAAACTGGAAAATGAAATATGAAAATAATTATTAAAGGAAGAAAGAACAGGGTTGGCACCGTCAGAAAAATCCTTGATGCATAAACTCGAAGAAACAAGAATCTCTTAAACTTTGTGGATGATATGAGAGCGTGATAGCATCTAAACTCAAATTACCTGTTCAAATCTGCATCAGAATTTGGTGGAAAGCAGAATAGCAACTTCTGAATTAAAAGGGCAGCTGTTTTTCTGTTACGTGCAATTAGAACTGCATTCGGCCCCGCATCAAATGTATAAGCCACCTATCGATTATTACAATATTGTCAGCTACTCGAACAAATAATATAAACAGTATGCAACTCAAACAAGAGCTTATAGAGATGAGATTATTATTTTCGTTTAAGCGTAAAATCATTTTCCAACTAATATTTAGTAGCATGCTTATATGCCACAAACTTATAAAAAGTAGAAGCAGTGCCAGAAGGGAAGAAGCAGGTCCAGATTTAGAAGCATGCTTTGAACTAGGTTTATCACGAGAACAAAGTCTGATCCAAATTACTTGTCAAACCAAAGTTAAAAAAAATTTCTTTTCCACGAGAAAATTTGTAAGTCGTTAAGAGCTTGTATTTGTTTCCTGTATGTAGCTGTGCAAGTTGTGTCAGTTGAGGCATTAAATTAAGAAAACATGTGCAGTGAAGCTCCATGTAGATTAATCTCTTTAAGATATAGACATAAGGACTTCTACTGAAATTATAATCACTTTTGGTCTAATACTGAAAATATACGTAATCAGAAATGCCAAATTCAAGATGAGTATCATGCTAGAAAGACAAACAATTAGCAGTATTTTATACTCATTAAATATCATTTAGTTTCCTCCTGAAAATTCAAACCTGAGGTGTTCCTTCTGCGCGGTTCCACTTTTCAACAAGGCTTATTATCCTGAAACATAGGCACTTCGTCAATATTAACTTTCACGTGTATAGCGTCGCCTCAATGAATGAAAAAAATATATGAATTAATCTACTTGCTAAGCCTTTCAAGTGACACAAATGCAACGGGGCTTGCCTGTGGGATGTATCATTCATGTAGAAGATGGGTGGACATGTGTCCAGGCAGACCGCGTGAAACTGGTTACTGTCAGTACAAGTCAGTTGTGCAAAAGAAGCAAAATCACGATTTTTTATGGCTTCTTCCATTTTCAATATGCGTTTTGGCACTACTTCCTGTAACAGTATCAAAAAAGAGATAGGAGAAACAAATTAGATCATAGTTTAAATGACCCCAAAAAAGTTGAAAAATAACAAACCATACAAGAAATTAGACGCCTTTTTCTTCTATAATAGCAGTGCATTTGGATGGGGTAGTTTAAAAGATTCGAGGAATTCGAAAATGACAGAAATTAAACCACAATCTATAAATCTCTTAAGTAGTTAACCTGTTGAGCATAATTGGATGTAAAACGATGGAGCTCAGTCGCTCAACCAGCTACTACTGAAGACAAATCCTATTATTTAAGATGGCCAGTGAAAAGGAAAGTGAGAACGTACCTTTGCTCTATGTTGTAAGAGCAAACTTGTTTCAACAGTATCACGCATTCCTGTAGTGCTACTTGTCTCCTTCTGCCGTGAACTTACCTGAAATAAACAAAATCAAGAAGGTAAATAACAGGATTCTTTGCAGTTGTAGCATCTCTGATAAGCTCATATTTATATATATATTTTACATCAAATTCACTTGTCTTTTCTTAGTTAGTTCCTTATATTTTTGAGTTATTTACTTTGTTTTTGTGTTTTGTAGGATTTGTCAAGCAAAGAAAAGAAAATTAGCACAAGTGAGATTTTAAGTAACAAATTCGTCAAAACTGCCTGTGCAGGTCAGCTGACTTTGGAAGCAAGTTGCGGACAGCTCAGAATCAATTAGAGAATGAGCCTTATATGCTTGGA